TTTAATCTTTTTGACAATTGGCATATTGAATCCCGCTATTCCGCTTTATCTTCTTTGTCATATTTAAATTTTTAGGGCCCTACCCACTTGCAATCGTTTTATACGTTGTCAACGTCGCTCTGAACTTCACAGATCCGTCGATGGTGGCTGATACCTGTATCGCCAGCGATTTTCCACATGAATCGTTTGACCTTTATTATACCTATAACCGAATTGGAAATGTTTTGTTAACAATATTGATCTATATTATTATTGGAATCCTATTTCGAAAGGTATTTTTTCGAATCTTTACTTTTGAACGGAACCTGGAGACTAAAAAAAACGGACATTCTGCCAGGTTTTACGATCATCGTTTTGATGAATGGCTTTTGATTTTGATGGATAATTTTTGATGAATTGAAAGCACCCAAAGGTCGACTTTTTCACAAAATTGAGCAGAAGTTTGTCTTTGAAATTGTGACCGGATGTAAATTGGGTCCCTGGGGTAACGAGACAAGATACCGAGGTCGTTCAATTCGAGAACTAAAGATCCGTTACCTAGCAAACAACTGCTTAAAAAATATGCTGACAATACATATATTTGCGTATTAACGGCTAAAAATCAAGACCAGAAACGGATTTACTTACTTTTACCTTCAGCAATCCAAACGTATGGTCGGGCTCAGCGAGGCGCAGCGGAAAAGCTTCCGGAGCGTGAATATTACCTCGCGTAAGTGGTGAAGCCGATTTTTGCGATTTTGCGCGTGACATTAATCGGAGCCGTTATTTTAGTGCTCACGACCGCCGCCGCTGTCGTTTTTCTCCTCCTCCCCGAGTTGATGAACAAGTTTATGGGGCCGCCACCCGAAATTCGGAGCGTATGGTACTGCGTCATGTTGTCCAAGGTAAGGAAAGTCAAATAAAAAAAGCTTTTCTCTCTGGTCACAAAATCAGCCACTGCAAAAATATTTGAATTTGCACCGTTTTCCCTGAACTGCCGTAGTCCAAACGTACAAAGATCTTTCCGGATAATCCGGAAAGTCCCCGGGGGAAAACGGTATTAAAATTTGTTTCCTGGTAGTCGTATCCTTAAATCCGCGGTAGTACTTGCTGCAAAAAAGCGTTGCCTGAAGCACATAAAATGCGAACAAAATACGCAAGCCGACCCTCGACCATAATCGGATCATTTTCAGAGCCTTGCGAATTTTTCCATTTTTCTTTGGAGGCATCGCGAATTTCGGAAAATGGTGTTCACGATTTTCCGAAGGAATACGACGCGACGGTACCGTAACCTACTGTTCGTTCAAGGCATTTTAGGGTGCCAAGCGATTCGGAGGGTGCGAAAAATACAAAGCCTGTGATCCAAGTGATGAGCAAAATTTCGTGAACTTTTTGATATTATTAACGATAAATATTTATAAACTTTCTGTTTTTTTCACCTATACCTGCTGATGATATATTATGTATTTTCAACGTGTTTTTAATAGTTTTTTGATGACAAAAAGTTATAAAAAACATTTTTCAAACTCTGAAAAATTAAAACCCCCCGCTAACGAACCAGAACCTAAAAAAGTATTCTTTCGTTTTTTGTTGCTTTTCAAGTCTTACGTGTTGATAGAAAATGACTATTCGTGCCTAGCATTGCACAGCAAAACGATCAAAGCCTGGCCAAATCAAACGCGGCTGTTGAATCACAGAGTCGCCGCTTCACCCCTTCTTACGCGTCGAAATCCCGGCAGCTTATCACCCACCCCTTTTTCCGTTGCTCGTAAAATTCGCCGTTCCCGGGTCGACCCCCATTCTGCAGTCACTTTCGATTCTTGTTACCTTACCGGCAAGATGGACCCGATTCAAGAATTCATCACGATGGTGGCAAGAAGCCCGGAACTTTCCGCGCTGCAGGCTTCCATCATCACCCAAGCGTTCCGAATTCCGTAAGTTAACCTAATCGAGAAATAGTTATTTTGTGTCCTAAGACAACCGCTCAAATTTCAGCAAAGAAAAACAAGAAAAAACAATTCTACGTTGTCTTAACTACTTTAAACACATTTATCCAATTGCTATTACCGAAGGAGTAAAAGGTAAATGAGTCAATATAATTTTTCAAAATTTTGTTTAGCTGGTGCAACCAACTTGAATGCTTCGGGCAGTCCGGTGGTTCCCAAGAAGGTTTGCTTAGCTTATCCTTATGCTTAGGTCCGACTTAGGCTAAGTTTTTGGCTGAAAATTAGGTTTTGGACTCGGGTTTGGGCTGAGGCTCAGGATTAGGCTTAAAGGGATACCCAAGGTTTTGGCGGCAAATATATAGTTATGTATTCCGGACAGTACAACTGACGCACGAATTTCGTGCGGAAACGGGGGGCCCATTGCCGCACAAAATTCGGACCCTTTCCCACTTGTGACGTCCCCATCCCACCCGATGGCTTGCCACTATGGCCTAATGGATAGCATCCAGGTCTACAAAACCGGGGTCCCGGGTTCGCCGCACGCGGCATCGTTTTTGCTTTTTGAGCTCCGGAAAGGTTGGGCAGCTTAGGCGTAGGGCGTTGCTTATGTCGAGGTTGGGGCTTGGGCTTGTGCTACGACTTAGGCTTGACATTAGGTTTTCGTTTAGACTTCGGCTTAGCTTTAGGCTTACTGTTTCTTACCGTTTCCAAAAGTTGCGGAACCCCTTTGATTAAAAAGTTGGAAGCGTTTTTAACACCCAAAATGCCAGAAATTGCTTACTTTAAAACGTTCTAAAAATACCGTAAAATACTTTTGGGGGAGAGTAAGACATTTTCCGGGGTAAAAAAAGTCTTCTTTCGAATGGGCTATCTCAAGAATCCTTAGCTCAAACTTTCTAAAATTTTGAAAATTGACCATCTTGGGCAAGGAAGGGCCCGTCAAAAAAAACTTTTTTGCACTATCTCACGTACGGAATTGCCACTTCGACCATAAGAGGGTTACAGTTAATCTTCGGTTTAGGCTTGGGCTTGGTCATAGGTTTAAGCTTAGGCTGAGGCTTAGGTTTTCGGTAGGCTTCTAGTTAGCTTTAGGCCTAGTCCTAGGCTTGGGCTCGGGTTTACGTCTAGGCTTCGGCTTAAGCCCATTTTCAACAATTTTAGGCAAGCTTCGAGGTGTTCACAATTCTCAGCCACAAAAATTGGCACGGATTGTGCGCCTACATCGTGCTCTACATATTGGAGAACCCGGATTATGAAGGGATTTGGTGAGTATCTTTTGTTTTATTTTTTCCTGGTAATCGACTCTAGTTTAGCTTTTTTTGCCAAAAAGCAAATTGAAATTTTGTTTTACTGGCAAAATTTATAAAGTTGCGAATTTAGGTACACACCAAATCTATGCTTTTATTTTGCGAAAGATGGGGCGACCGATAGCGCTGTCGTCGATCGGGTAATTAATTAATTTTAGTTTTTGAATTCAAAAAATCACCGAAGTCGCCAAAATTTAATTAATATTTTTAGGCGCGAATGGTGTTCAGAAATTGGGTCGACGAGAAGCAGCAAGAAAAATCCAAGCGAAAAGCCAGTGCGGAGAAGCAGAAGCTGGCCGACGCGGCGTACTCGCTGAAAAAGCTGGAGGCCCTGAAGCTAGGGGAGCCCCAGCAGAAGCCCAGTGCCACGACCAAACAAGGAGGCTCTAGCAAACCGGAAGTTCCCGTCGTTGTTGCTCAAGAGCAGCCGGAACTTGAAAACGTTTTGTGCTGTTCGATTTGCCGAGAGCCTTGTGAGTTCAAAAGTACAAACGTCAAACTTTGTGTGTGTTTTTTTGAGATGATGACGATCTGAGACGTCCTCTAATCTTGACTCCATGCGGACACACCTACTGCGCGACGTGTCTGACCGAACAGTAAGGGATATACGCAGGAGCCTAGCGAAACTTTCTTTAGCAACGCGGGCGCCGTCTGCTGGGAGTGCAGCCGGAAATTCGAGGATATGAAGCCGAACTATGAGGTGCAACGAGCAGTTTATGCGCTCCGAGAGCTGCAAACAGCTAACCGACCGGTAAGGACGAAGGCTAGCGTTAAGGCGTTAAGCTTAGCTTAGGCTTAGTTTAGGCTTAGCTTAGGCTTAGCCTAGGCTTAGTCTAGGCTTAGCTTAGGCTCAGCTTAGGCTTAGCCTAGGCTTAGTTCAGGCCTCTTTTGGGCCAATTTTTGCCTAGTAAATGCTTTATAGCGCGACCTGGGCGATCGGGCGGCTCTAGTTTGATACACCATTCGATGCAGAATTTTCTTGCGCATCTTTCTACAGTAATCAACAGAGCCGCCCGATCGCCCAGTTCCGGACAGAACGGAAAAACTGTTTTGTGTACGCAATACACCTATGTTCCGGGCATTTTCGTGCTCCGAGATGTATTAGAGAGATGATCCCCACCTTAAATTAGGTATTGACACAAATTTTCAGAAGAGTCTGTCAAGTAGTTCTCGAGATATTTTTTCGGGGTCGGCAACTTTGAGGCCGATTTTAACCCCAAAATTAAACTTTTTAAACTTTCAAAAAACATGCCACCCTACTAATTCGACCATGCTCTTTCAGATGGCACCAAAAAACAGGGTCGAAAAAACTGTGCCAAGCTATAATGGGGGTTGGTCAGATCCCTCACAAACGGCCTTTTAAATATCGTGGCGATGGCGCTATTAATGCTTGACCTACAATTTGCTGAAAATTTCTAGAATCCCACTGAAAAAGATGCACCGAGGCCGCCGACCCCAACGAGTCCGAAGCAAGCGGCCGTACCTCCAAAACCTGCCGAGAAACCGTACGTTTTGCCAGCTCGCAAATCACCTACAAAATTCAGAAAGCCACCATCACCTCCACCGGCTCCAATTGCTCCCAGCGCAGAGCCAAAGAAGAAGCAGCCGGTGGACGAGCAACCAGATGTCGCCGCGAATCCAGAATTCGGGGTACTCCAATCCTTCCTCAAAAGTGATAGGATTTCAGCAGAATATCGGCTACAAAACCGTGCTCATCAGCGGCATCGAGCGCATCGGTGAGCAGGAAAAACTAGAGAAATGTCGTGAAATGTTCGAAGAAGCTACCGGATTGCCGGAAGATCAACTACGGTTAGCAAGCACAAAACCTTCATCGATTCATCCCACTTTAGAATCAAATGCTATGGGGGCAAACGATTTGGAAAGGTGTTCATGTCGATGCCGACGCGAGAAGCTGCCAAACAGGTTGAAAATATTTTTTTGAATTCATGCAGGCTTTAGTTCATCGACAAATACGATGGGGAATGCTTTCCGGGGCATAAAAATATTATGTCGGCGAAGCATGAGACTTTCGACAGCAAGCCAAAGGCCGATGTCAATGGGAATAATGATTTGGAGCAAAAGAGGACGCTTTACATACAGAATTTGCCGAATCGTGTGACGTCGGAGGATGTTTTGAAGGAATTGCTGAATGGGGGAGCAGATTTGAACCAACGATTGTGGGTTTTGGAGGAGAGAGAGGGAGAGCGCGAGAGAGAGGGCGAGAGAGAGAGAGAGAGAGGGAGAGACAGGGGGAGAAGGAGGGTCTTTAGAACTAGACGGATCCATAAGATATACTTTTAGCGTCACGCTTCAACCAGCTCGTGCAGGACAACTCTGCATCGTGTCTTTCAAAACCGAAGAAGCAGCTAAAAAGGTATCCGAGCAATGCAATTGCAAATTTACGCCCCTTTTAGGTCATGGACGCTTTTCATGATCGGCCCTATCCCAACACTAAGATGGTCCTCAACATTACTTACTTCCGAAAGAAGAAAATCGAGAGAACGCAGTCTACTGGTAGGTCCTAATCGGCATGCCTTTGAATTAACTGTCCGAATGGCAATACGCAAATCAATAACGGTTTTAGAGCGCCCAACCGGCAATCAGAATCGCCGCCCACCATCGCCGGCCAGAAGCCAGCAATACGGATACGGTAATTATATCTATGAACACATGGTTGAAAAACCGCTGGGTGGCTCAAAAAGCATGAAAGATTCAAAGGTGCTCTCTCTTCTATCTCTCTCTCTCTCTCACTCTTTCTTTTTTTCATCGATTATTAGCTTCGGCATATGCTGTTACTTAACCAAGATCGCTAATTAGACAAAGACCCAATTAATAGCCACAATAAAATTTTTGTAAAATTTTTGACGCGCCGGCATGCTCTTCCGGGGCATTACACCTAATCGGTTGCTGACTTCTTCAAAAAAATCCCTGCCTTGTGCTAAATAACGTGGCGGAAGTGCGCAGACACACAATCGCTCTTTTATCCATAGTAAGGTTGTCATGTAATTTTTACCTTAGGCGGGCCTCGCGGACGTCCGGGCTACGATATGCCAGTCCCGCCTCGGATGCCTTTCAACCCGCAACACGGGCAGTTTATGCCACCTCCTGGCCCGTATGGCATGCCGTACCATCCGGTTGCCTATCCGTTCATGGGCCCGCCTCCGAATTTTCCAACTTACGGACCACCACCGAATTATGCACCCAATTCTGCGGTGCCTCCGACGCCTCCGACCCCTCCGGCACCACCGACACCTCCTCCGGCAACACCACCACCCAATAAGCCGGCTGTCAAGAAGCCGGATCCTAAAAAAGCTGCGGTAATTGTTTTATAGGTTAGGCTTAGCTCGGGCTTGGGCTTTGGTTTGGTGAGATGAAATCGCTTTGACCTAGCTTTTGAGCTTGGGTTTAGGTTAGGCGTACACGATTGAAATTTTCGAACGTGAAGTTCAAGCAACATTTTTTCATACCATTGCTATTTAGACCGACAAAAGCGTCGTATGCGTCAGGGGCCTGCCTGCTACTGTAACCATTGATGAACTGATCACCACTTTCTTCAGCCAAGAGCTCAATTTGAAGCAAGAAAATGGACGGTATTGCTTCGGTCACGGCTTTAAACTTTAATCCGCTCTAGTCCGAAGATCTACCTTGTCAACGACGATTTCGATCCGGAAATTAAGACTATGGTTGTTTACCTAGTCAATGAAGAGCTTGGCATTAGGGTAAGATCGTATCCTTTTTTTGTTATGACCTTTGTTTAGACCCTTGTCAGCTGGAACGCGAAGATGTACCCGGATACGAAAAATAAGTTGGTGATCGAGTACTACGGCGCCAATAATAACCCAAGGCATCCGAGTCTCGCTGTGTTGAAGGCGTCGATGAAGGCAAGAGTGCGTTAAGACCACTTTGGCTAAAAATTTAGAAACTAGCAGCGATTTTTGGGAAAGTGGTTTTCTAATTACATGTGTTTTGATAGCATAACGTCATGCATGCCCCCGCAGCCTTAATTTAAAGTTTTCTATCAAAATGTCGTAAATATTATCATTTCGAAATTGAAAGAAAATTAGAACCTCCCCGAAAAAATTAGCCGCTATGAGATTTCGACATTATGGAATGTCGACGTATGGGAATTTCGAAATTAGGAATTTCGAGGAAATGGCTTTCAACATTATGATAGCAACTGCCCATTTAATGAGAGGTTTTCAGGAAACCGACCGAGTCCTCTTCAAAAATCTGCCTCCTTCGGCCGACATGTTCAGCTTAATCTCAATTTTTCACAACTTGCCGGTCGGTGGGACGAAGATTCAATTCGCGAATCCTCCAGGGTAACTCTTACCCTCTGATTTTCCTTCTTACAGGGATAAGGAACGCCCAGTAGATGAGGGGTCAACTATGGTTGGCAACCGGCCAACCGGCCAATTAAAAATTAGCATATATTATATGCTAATTTTTAGAACGAAACCCGTTTTATGCTAATTTTTCCTGATCCTTCCTAATCCCTTTAACCAATTTACTGGGCAATCCATCATTTTCAGATTTGAATTTACCGTCCAGCCCGATGGTCTAAAATCCTGCAACGTTAAATTTGCGACGAAGAATATGGCCCGTCTGATCGCTACATACTACAGGACCGCCAAATTCCCAGGAACCGAGCAGACATACGCCACTGAATTGTGCTGATTTGTAATCATGCGGTTGAATAAAACAACGTTGTTGCTAGAGGACATTTACTAAGCGATCAAGAACCTCTGCTAGCTTGCGACGTCGAAAATTCATATTCCACTTTCCATGGCAAAGATTTTGGACAAATTTGACGAACAAAAGCTCCATTCTCACAACAAGTCTTTTCAAAAGCCATTCGCCAGCGTTGACCAAATGTGGCGATAAGTGTATACGTATTTGCCGGGTCACTATGGACCAAAAACAGTTCGTTATCTCCAGAATTCCCGGGGCACTTCTATTGACAGCTGCGGGGTTCACAGCAGGCAATTCCACATTTAACCGCTTCCGGTGGAAAAATGTGGCCTGAGCGGTCATTTCGAATCGTATTAGTCACGAAACCCTAAATTCCGATTTTATTTATGTTGAGTTTTTTAATAACCTATATTTTTCAATATTTCTTCAAGAATCTTTCGTTTTTAAGTAACCTAATCGTAGATGTCACTACGCTACCTTGCTCTTCTCTGGCAGTGAACGTTCAGAGATAGATAGAGAGAGTTCAGAAGAGATATCGTTTTGGAGTCCTATTGTCCTGAATGGCTTTGACACCTAATTCGAACCTTTTCATTTTGATTTCTTGAGTTTACGATGTCTTTATAGCTACTATTTTTTAATGACTATCCATTACTAAGAAAATGGGCGCCGAGCAGTCCACTCAGCAGGATTTCGAATTCACCGATCCAGATGCTGGCCTGGAAGAGGAGTTCCGATGCTGTAGCCAGTGCTTTCAGCTTTGTAAGTTCGAAAATACCAGGTTATACGGTAACCATCTTCCAGTTGACCGCGGCTTGCCCCGATACTCGATTTCCCGCTGCGTCAGAGGCCATCGGGTCTGCCAAAGTTGCTATCAATTTTCGCTTAATATGTTTGGGTGGGGTTTGACGGCCCTTAGCCAAATAGTTTTTTGAAATTTAGGCCGTCATTCTGGGAATCCGAAAAGTGCCTTTCGTGTGAGAACCGGGGGGTTTATCAAACACAGGAAGAAGCGGCGGTAAGACCGGAAAAAGATGAGGAGTTGACCGAGGGAGCAGGAGTGGGAGGCTCAGAGGTACATTAATTTAGCAAAAAAAAATCGAAATTTGCCAACCACTTTTTATAGTGGCTTCGTCGAAGGTCGCCAGGCGCCTGTGATCGCTGGTTTCAGCAAACCAGCAGCTCAGACCAAACCAACAATACGGTACAAAGGGCAGCTGAAACAACTTGGTTTAGCAATCGAAATCCTCAACGGCGGGCGCCTCCAAGACAAAACCCGGACCTTCGAGCAAAAATCACAACAAAGTAAGACTAGACTTTTTTGCCGAGGCTCCCCCCTTCAGAATTCGAATTCGGTACCCGCAAAAAAGTCGGAGCCGGAGCCAGAGATCAACGAAACAACCCATTGCACCGTTTGCAAACAATTGAGTGCGCCTGGCCTTTTAAGACATCAGTATATCTATAATAGTTCCGGCTGGGCCGCAAATCACGCTTGATATTTGTGGGCATAATATGTGTATGGAATGCTACAACGCGTTGAATTCGGCAGAGACGTGAGTTTTCAAAAAGCTCTTTGGACATCCTTGACGGATTCAATGAGGGCAAAACACTTTCTTGAATACCAATTTCAAAATAACTTTCAGTGCTGAAGAATGGGGAAAACACGCGATTTGCCGCTTTTGCGACGACCCATGGCCCAAACCGAAGGTCAGGAAAACCCGACGCATACCACAGCACACTAAACAAATACGAACTTTACAAATCAAATTCCAGCAAAAATATTTATTTCAGGATTCGCCTGAGGTCCGCGCCTTCCAACTGAAGCTGTGGGAACGGGGATTTGTGCGGAGAACCCAAAAATATGATTTAAAATTAGGTGGCCTTCCTGCTCCAACAGCGCAAAGACATGGCCTCGGAAATTGTAGCGTCGGCTGACCGGTGGCAGGTACTGACATGAAAATGAAAAAAACGCCGATTTAGGCCACGATAAAAAATCCGGCGAAGCGAGAAAAGGCCTTGGAAGCAGAAGTGACAACCCTTAAAAATCTTTAGAAATTAGTCTTAGCTAAAAGAATTGCGCGCACTCATGGCAAGAAAGGAGGCGGCCCACATTGGACTCATGACTCAGCTGGGCATACACAAGAGATTCGAGGCAGGCTTTGTAAACTCTATTTATATAGTCTAACGTATTAATGAATCGCTGCTTTCTTCGGAATGCCTCGATTTTAGACAGTAATGAAGGAGCAAGCAAACGCAGCCAATATGCTGAGAATCGTTAATAAAGAGATGATCAGCCGACTTTCGGCGAATGAGAAAAATCAGGTATGCAAATCAATGCTAAAAACGTCATTAAAACCATTCAGACCGAACTGTCAAAAAAATGGCAAGACGAAAAGGAGGGGATGCGCATTATGGTAGGACACCTGGTGTTTTGCATCGAAAAATCTAGATCGAGCAACTAAACAACCAACTCAACCGCGTACAAGAAGAAAGCCAAAGCCGAGTATAAGCGTTGATCACTCTTATAATATTAAAAAATTTAGATCAGCGAATTAAGCAAACAACTGTGCGACGCACTGGCCGAATGCCAACAATTGCTAAATCAAAAAGAAGAGACAACTAAAAATGTTTCGGTACGCTGGGGGCCTATTTTTATGAATTATTTCAGTACAATCGGACAAAAATCGTGATAGACAAGATTCCGATGAGCCACTCTCAGGATGTCGTTGTTAGTGACTTCCTGGAGAATGGTGAGAATTTGATCTACTGGGAGGACAGGTACTAGTAAGTCTGCGATAAGCAACATTTTTCAAGCCCCGATATGTTATTACGGATGAGCGGTGAGAATAGCCAATGTTGCATTGCATACCTGGATAATATGGCAGCCGCGGAAAAAGCAAGTTATTTTCAAAAATATTCGCATATGCTTGGTGTCTCGTCTTGTATATTTTGTGTATTAATCTGCGTTAAACTACCCGTCAAGTTATTGATACTTTAACTATCGGCAGCATCAGCCTACCTCTAGCTATGGCTCAATTCAGATTGCCACAAAATGGGATGGCGTTGTACTAGAAAACCAAAGGATTACGGTCAGCTATACAGCATTAAGCAAGCGATGCCCGGCGATTGCCAACAAGGTATGTGCTAGGAATAACCCTTAATGTGAAGAACCAGGCACTCAAAACAGCTTCTGAAGAAAGTCCAACCAAACCACCGAAAGTCGTGCCAACACCACGTGAGTCTTTGCTGGTTACGGACAACACACGTCGCGCACGGAACCTGATAAATTCGTTGGAGCAAGGCACTGTAAGTGAGGCAACGCCATAAAAATCTTAGAAACTTATACGATTTCTATCAAAAACCAAAATTAAATCTTTAGTACAAGGGCGGCCAAGTCATCTGTATTTGGTGGTTAAAAACTTCGTTCCACGATCAAAAGTTGGAGACCCGGTTTGCCAACGTTCTTCCCGGTCTTGTATGCGATGGAGGAAAGTAGGAAGCGTGTCATTTCGACTCTCACAAACTCCAGGCTAAAGTTTGAGCATTTCGACACGCCGGCGGGCTCCATGCTCTTTCTCTTCGCTAAGAAAAAGAAATCCGCATTGACGGTAAAGATCGTAAGTGGCCAGGCAAATGAAATAATTTAGCTCGTGATGGAGATAAGAAAAATGAGCTTTCTTGACGCCACGGTGAAATGTGAGCTGTATCAGCAATCGCGAGAAGTCCAAAATCTTCTGCATGACAAGTTAAACATCGCATAAGGACCGTTTTTTAATCCGGACTGTATTTCTGGCTCTCCCAATGTCTGACTTAGTGTGCAAAATCGATGTCATAAAAATTGCTGTCTTTTTCGAATAAAATACTGTTATCTAACGTCGAGACTTGGCCACATCGCTAAGATCTGTGACACAATTATCTACATCTACAGTAGCGGTCAAAAAGATGTCCCCTCGGGAAATCGTTTGGTGTTCGAAAACCACAGTCCCAAATTTTATAAAGCTTTGCTTCTAGGTCAAGTTCGGTACGAAGAATCCGATGGCGAGCACGAAATTGGATGAAAATTTGATTTTACTGATCAAATTTGCATTTAAAAAACATCGCTAAAATGAACTTTTTCCTGAAGGATTTTCGGGTTTCGAAAATGTGTCCATCGCGTTCGCAAGGGTCGAAACCTATCTCAAACATGTCTTAAAACACGTATCTCTCTGAGGGTCGCTGCTATGAGGCGGAGAAGTTGTCGCCGTGGGGCGATTTCCTGGCCCCCGTAAGCCTATCCAAGGGATTTTGGCCCGCGCGACTGCAACTTTCGGCCGTCAATATGGTCAGGCCTAGGCAACAAAAATGTCGTACAATAGCGGACTAGTGGTTTTCGACCCTTGCGAGCACGCTGGACACATTTTTTGAAACTCGAAAATCCCTCATGAAAAAGTGTATTTTAAAGATTTTTTGAAATCAAAGTTTAACCATTAAAATAAAATTTTCACTAGATTTCAATATTACCATCAGATTCCCCGTAGCCGAATTGACCTAGACACCAAGTTTCATAAAATTTGGGCCTGTGGTTTTCGAGCACCAAACGATCTCCCGAGGGGACATCTTTTTGACCGCTACTGTAAGTTGCCACAATGACACACGACCTTCAAAAAAAAACAGCTTGTGGTTAACTAAAAAGTAGTATTGATAGGGTTTAGCCCAAATTCGGTACGATGATCTGCATCTGGTGGCTAACAGACGCCTTCCGCACCCAACGACTCGAAGACCTCTTCGCCCATGTTTTGAGGGCCTTGTGTGCCATGATGGAAAGTACTGGGTGTCCCAAAAAAAAAGCACCCCTCTCTAGGGGTACGATCATTACTTCTAAAATCATCCTACTATATATAAAAAAATAGTGTTTGTGTGTGTGTGTGTGTGTGCTTTTGCATGCAACTTCCGTCACCGTGTTCCAGTAGTATCTCAAGAAGGGGAGTACTTAGGGGTATGTTCGATACGTCATTAGGTGCGTAATGGCCTGGAGATGACTGCACACGTATTAGATTATACAAAATATGATTTTTTCGGCATTAAAATTAAGTTTTTCATGGAAAATCGGACACCCCAATTTGTTAGGATCAAATTAGCATGCACCGGAAGTCGCGGTAGGCTATATAAAGGGATGGCAAGAGCATTTTTCATTTTTCGTCATCCGAATCCGGGAAAATTATGCAAAGCCAAGAATATCATTGGAGAAGACGGGGCCAGGGTTGAAAAGCCGCGAAGCGGTTTTTCAACCCTGGTTACTTCTAAAATCATTACTTCTAAAAGTCATTACTGCTAAAGTCATTACTTCTAAAAGTCATTACTTCTAAAAGTCATTACTTCTAAAAATCATTAATTCTAAAAACGTTACTTCTAAAATTTGGTATGCCGGATTACCAGTTTTTCGGCATATTTATGCCCAAAAATACGCTTAGAATTTTAGAAGTAACGACTTTTAGAAGTAATGATTTTAGAAGTAATGATTTTAGAAGTAATGATTTTAGAAGTAATGATGGGTAGCCCAAGCGCGCTTGATTTTCTAAGATTTATTCTTATTCGTCCGATATTCAACGTTTTTCTAAAAATCAGGTAGCTTTTCAATAGGAAGTTCGCAATTAGCATGCAGATCTCGCTTAAATCTGCCGTTTTCATGGTTTTTGGAGGTGAAATTAGCGAATAAAAATAGCTAATAAAGAAAATGAGCCCTCCTTGTTTTCTCGCCTTTTCGAGAGCTTTCGATTGATACCTAAACGGTGAAAATCGGACACGACTGCGTGCCGCGAGAGAGGGGAAGCTTTTTTTTGGGACACCCTGTATGATATTGCGGTCTTTGAGCCAGCACAAGTCTTATGTTAGGTTAAAATTCGCACAGTTGGAAGCCCCGGAAGGCCGAATGCTCTTCCTCTTCGTCAAAAAGCCTCGGCAGGCGCGCACGGTAACCCATGAAAGAAGACTCAGCCAGATTATGATTTTCAGCTAACGTTTTCAATCAGAAAAACAAACTCTTTGAAATGCGAGGTCTATATGAGCGGTGACGAGAAGCCAGGGATATACTGAAGAAAAAATTATATCGGTTGGCTAGCAACTGGCTAGCCATGGTTGATGATGTGTAGTGTTCGTATTGCTTGCGAGCTTCTGCAATGCGTAAATGTTATTAACGCGGCATTTGAATATACCATGAGACCGTTGGTGAACCAACGGTTATCCTGACGCATGACGAAATTTAGGAAGTGAAGCGTAACGATCTTAACTCGATCACCCCGCCCAAGGACGCTAAAAAAGCGCTGACCAAATCTCCCGAGAAGCATATACGTATTGCCAAGTCATCGGAACTCAAAACAATTCCTTATCGCGAGAATGCCGGGGCGCTTCTGCCTCTATTCTCTTGAGTGCTTTCATTGACAGCTCTTACGACTTCCAAGCGGCACATTAATTCTAAAAGTGATTACTTCTAAAAGTCGTTACGGTCGTTTTTAATCTTTTTCGCCACCGGCAACCCTTCGACTGAATTTATTGGATTAAAACTGGTGACCATTGCCAATCGAATTTTAGGACGCTTCGAAGTATCGTTTTAGAAATAATGATTTTTGAAGTAAAATAATCTTGGCAGTAATGATTTTACAGTAACAATGGATAACCACTGAAAACCCTCCGGCTTGTTACGTTGAGAATCTCTTCTTTCACTTGCTTGCATTTTTGTGTGTATGATATTGTAGCCAAGCAATGGACTCAATGCCGGCCATACTAGTTGAAGAGGTTGATGGCGTCGTGGAAAATGTAGGCGTTCGCATTTCTTCATTTTAGTGTATTAGTGCCCTTCTGAACAAAAAAAAAATACGTACCTAGAATATCGTCAAGCCTGCCGTACAGCCATCGTACAGCCGTCCAGATCCGATCGAGCCCGAGGCTCAACTCACAGAATTCACTCATTGTGCAATTTGCAAAGAACCCCGTAAATATTTATTCCCTCGGGTCTTAAACGTTGAAATTTGGTGGCCGATGGGACACGTAATATGCCCGAGGTGTGCGGTCATCACCCGTGCACGCCATGCTACCAGCGCTTTAATCGCATTGAAACGTAAGTTTTTAGGCTTGGTTCTTGGCGCTGGACTTTACTTCACGCCTCCCCACCGGAAGTTCCCAACATTTTTTCAAATTACCATTATTGCTGGCGATTTTGGCTACACCATTCGATAGAGCACCAAAAAATTATTTTAAGCGTTTTAATTACAGCCCGCAATAATGCCATATAAAAGGTTATGGCGAAAAACTTTTCGGAACTAGCGGCTGGTGGTAAAGTAAATTCTAGCCCTGAAAATCGCCCGATCAGAAAATTGAGTTGCTAAATCGTAAAACTTACTTACACTTACAACTAAATAACAAGGCAAAAGATTGTATGCCGTATAAAATATTTGAGGAAGCTTTCAGTGCCGCCGATTGGGGGAAATATGCGGTTTGCGGATTTTGCAACGAGCCGTCGTACAAATCAAAGGTTAGAATTGTGCCGCGCAGGTCGTAATACCATATTTTTAGGATACCACGGACAATAACACAAACTTGACAAAACAATGGGAAAAACAGTTTGTGCGAGGGATTTCCAAACACCTTATAAATGATTTTAGTTCGCCTACCAGCTGAAGCAACGCAAGAGTATGGCCGCGGAGATCAGCCAGTTGAAGCAGCTTCTGGAGGTACTGTTCGATCATCTGAATAAACACTGCATCCGAATTTAGCTCAAGCAAGTGCGCGATGGGATGGCAAGGGTCGAGGCGGTGGATTTCCAGGTAGTGAATGAATTTAGAAGAAAAACGTCACAACCGCGACTTAATTTGTGTGGACTACTTGTAAGCACTTTCTTTAGCAAGAGCCTTGCAGGTAGCATTGTCAAAAAAATGGCAAAGGGAGCGGGACAACATGAGGGATTTGGTAAGGAGTGCGTTTTGCAGAAATATCCCCAAAATCAGATCGACCAACTGCAGCAACAACTGGAAGAGGCCAGGGCGGAAGCCCGCGAGCTAGCTTTGCAAAACGCAAATTTAGAGCAGCAAGCTGTGAGTCCATTAAAGCGCTTTATTGCACAGCCACTTATTAGTGCAACCGTACGAAGATTGTCATCGACCAAATTCCGACCAGCTACTCCCTGGACCAAGTCGTCACCACCTTCCTCGAAAGCGGAAAAAATCTAATCTTTTGGGAGAACAGGTTTTTTGGCGTTGACTCTGAAGGACATTGGATTCGAGCCCCGATATGTTGTTGCGAATGAGCGGTACGGATAGCCAGTGTTGCATTGCTTACCTGGACAATCTAGCGGCAGCCGAACGGGTGAGTGGTTGCTATATCAAACCATCGGAAATTTGGATGGATGTACGACTCGACTTTCCACAATTGAGGAACATATTTTTTTTAGATAGCCAAAACTTGGAATGGTATGGTATTGGAAGGACGAGCGGTTCAAGCTAACTACAGCGCGCTTGGACAAAGACCATCAGAAGTAAGACAACGATTATTGCAGCTAGAGCTAGAGCGCTTTTTACCATAAAACGCGTCTTACAATTAGTGGTAATCGGCACGTGATGAAGCCTAGCTTGTGCGGAATGGGCGCTCTTCCCGAATCTGCTGTCAATTCCGGCAAAATGGCTTTTTTCGAATTTAAGAGCTTCATGGCTTTTTTTAATCTGATCCTTTCATATATTTCGAGAGCCGTTTTGGAAAATTGTGTATAATAGAGGCTTGATCCTGTGTAGTAAGAAGCACGTCTCTCCCTAAAAAACGGCTCTTTGTTAGATGTCAACAAGCAGTGCAAAGCCGAACGAAGCAATAATGCGATCAGAAGCAGCATCTGGTGACGTTACCGCTGAATCATCCGATTTGCAAACTTTGTGCCACCTATTCAATTCACTAAAAGAACAAGGGGTTTGGCTTTATGCCGGCTAACGGAAAATTACAATAATTCGTTGAAATTCAGACGGACTTCCGATCGGTGCTATGTGTTTGGTGGCTACCCCAGCGCTTGGCATTCTGGAATATTGATGCCTACTTTGCGAGCATCGTGCAGTTGCTGGAATGTGTTACTGTGGATCTAAATACGCAGTCCGTTTCTATGATACGGCACGAGCAGCTGAGGACGCCACATGGGTGGATTCTCTTCCTTTTTCGGTTGGGACAGAAAAGCCCCGAACGGGTCAGTCCATCAGATTTTAAGCCTCTAACGTGCGCGGCTTTTAACGTGGAGCAAAGTTTGTCGAACAAGCCGAAGGGGGGGAGCGAGATAGAAAGAGACTGCGCGCGAAGCAGAAAAACGGTAGCTATAAATAAATTTTTAGATCGCAGGCCTCATCCGTGGTATTAAAGTCGACGGCTGTTCCCTCAATTGTGACACTTTTTGGAGCGGTCAATCGCTACCAGCGCTCGTCAAAGTAAGAGTCCGCTCCCCTCTCTGCTAACGTACGGGGGTGGCCCGATTAAAAATACCACCCAACTCACGCGACTCAGAAGTATCGCATGGGGATGACAGTTACGCCATTCGGACACCCTTGAAACGGAGAGTCGGCAAAAAACTTTACAAAAAAAACCATGGTTGCGCGTTCCTACAAACCGCCTTGAAAAACGTCCTGTTGGGGATCGTTGCAAACTCGCCGTGGCAAGGACTTTGCCTGGTGCAACTAGCCTTCCGATCCGTTACGTTTGCACCGAGTTAGAGCGGGTTGTTTTTTATTGGGAAACCCTGCAGTGTCAACACATTCTTGATTCTAGAGCTTTCGCGACGATTGGTTCGAGATACCGAGGACAGAACAAGTTCGGGATCTAATAGCCAAAGCCCGTAACATCGCGGTGGACCCTTTGAAATAATCCGGAAAGCCTGTTTTTTTAGTTTCGACACGGTCCGATCCTTTGTGTTTGGTGGTTTACGGAGGCATTTCACCGCAAACGGCTCGATGTTCTGCTGGCCGGGGCGCGGCATTGGCTGTTGTGTGAGAATGGATTGTATGGATAGGTGTTTGCACGGTATCCCGGTTTATTTTAGTCCGAAATTCGAACAGCTCGATACCGACGAGGGGACCATATTATTCCTGTTCCTTACAAAGAACCCCCAGCTCAAGAAGGTAGGCTTATACCAAACCCTTATGACGGAAGCCCTTAAAACTCTTCTGTTAATTTGTTAGATTTGATCAGACTGATAAACACAAAATCTGTCTTGTGATGGGTAATTTAGGTAAAGAAATTCATTACGCAAATAGAAGCCGGCGGAAAACACCTGACTTGTGAGCCCTATCAAAAATCATCATATATCAAAGACTTCATCGCGAAAAAGTATAATCTATGATAAACGAATCATTGGAATTTGCCTTTGTGTCACTGGCAGTTTCTGTGTTTCACACAACAATTGATACGACACCCGCCAGGGAATCACATATTTTTTCTAAGCGATTTGTTAGCTTTTTTTTATTTTATTTCACTTCCCTAGACAGATAGGTAGAAAATCCGCACACACAGCGAATTGACGACGCTCATCATCACCGCGTTTTCCGAATGATTTCTTACAAGGAATGGTTTGTAGGTGATCTCGGAATTTTGCAATGTGACATAGACCATTAGAGTCAGAAATTCTGAATATCCGATCTTTCAAAAACTGCTGAACGACAACGATTTTCGAGAAAATTCTCTCTGAAAGGGCCGACTAAAAAATTTGACGACTAAAAGATTTTTGACTAAAAGATTACGATTTCAAAAATTATTATGTATGTAGATTGTTTTTAAATCGGGGTTTGCTTATACTTCCAATCCGATTCCCGAAAATTGGTTTCCCGAAACTCGGAGCCCCGAAAATCGGAGTCCCGAAAAATCTGAGTCCCGAAAAATCTGACTCCCGAAAATCTGAGTCCCGAAAATTTGGCTACTGCTTTTTAGGCTTCCGGCCCCAAAAAAAACCCAAATCACTGCGGGTATTTTCGGGACTTAGATTTTCGGGAGTCAGATTTTTCGGGACTCAGATTTTCGGGACTCAGATTTTTCGGGACTCCGATTTTCGGGACTCAGATTTTTCGGGACTCCGAGCTTCGGGAAACCAATTTTCAGGGATCCCATCTTCGGGAGTGTCATCGGAATTCTTTTAAATCACAAAACGATGTGAAATGGTATCAAAATGGTCTATATTTGGTCATCAGCACGTAGAGAATTTGCCCCCCCCGTTAAATCTCCCAACCTCCTTCCCCCACCCCCCGCTAACACTGACTCTTTCCAATGATTTCCCAAGGTCCCACGAAACTTATTCAATTTTTCCGGCAAGCTGACTAGATAAAACGACGCCTCTGTTTAGATAGCCGTTTTATTTGTTCTTAGGCGTTAGAATCTCGGCGTTATCGCGTAAAAGGTAGTTATTTAGGGGTAGTTATAGTTAGGCTTGGGCTTAGGCATAGGATTTCAGCCCACGCTTAACAAAATTCGAACTTTGGGAAACTGATTGTCGAAGACCGTGGTAGTTCAGCGGCTTTTGAAAGCAGGGACTTGTTCAGAACTCGAATCTCTATTGAATGAGCTATGCCACATAGTAAAATTGCAAGATCACCCAAAAATCCTAAAAACCTCCTAAAAACCTAAAAATACAATCTAACGTGGAAATCGAAAAATCAAAAACAAGGCCTAGTTTTTTCTATGGATTTTGATCCTCGAATATTTTTTCACACAAAATCTGTCCTCATAAATCGGCACGTTCCGATTTTTTTGCGCCCCGATGCCCCGTTATCGCAACCTTACGAGTCGGGCTTCACCCCCCTTATCACCAACTTTTTTTTGTCCTAACCCCGGTTGTCTTAGCCCCCGAATGCAGCTCGACACTCCTCTTGGCGAACGGATTCAAGAGTCGTGAAAGCAAAACTTTCACAAAATGGAAGCCATCAGCGACTTTATGATTATGGTTTCTACAAACACCGACCTTATTCATCTTAAGTCCCGCATCATCGAAACTGCCTTTAATATCCCGTAAGTATTTATACCGTGTTTTCCGAAAGCTCCTTTCCTGGCCGTTCGCAGACGATTTAGGGATTTATGGATATTTCTCGACGAGCTGAGGAGATACGTGTTCCGATTTTCGAAATTCTATGATTCTTCTGATAATTCCTAAACATTTTTTAACAATACCGCCCGTTTTTATGCATTTCCCATTGAAGGGGGTTTTAGAGGTAACCCCACTTACGGGTTTTTCGAAAAAAACGTCTGGCTTGTTCATAAAAATGTCGAAAATGAAAGGAAACACACGGAATTGCGAAAATCCAAGAGATCCGCTCAGCTCGTCGTGAGCTTTCGATAGATCCTAAACCGTACAAATCTAAATACTGGTCAGCGAAGAAAAACGCCAGCCAACAATGCTCCGTGCTCTAAACTACTACAAAAATACTTATCAACGGGCCGTCGATGAAGGCATCAAAAGTAAGCTAGATCTTAGTCGTTGAAGGAAATATTTCTTGAGGCGGCGCTTACCGCCCATCCACGCCAAGCAATATAATCCCGAAAAAGGTGACTCGTATCTTTTGCTCCGCACAAAAAAAATAGATGACCTTCGACGTCTTCACGATCCTGAGCCACAAAAATTGGTCTGATCTATGCGCATACATCGTGCTCCATCTTTTGGAAAACCCGGATTTCCAAGAGATTTGGTAAGGCTTCTGTGGGAACTAAAGCTAAAAGGGCAATTTGAGCGGGTTACTTGCAGAACGGCGAAATTCATAACGTCGTAATTTTTTAGTGCGAAATTTCATAATGCCGAAACCTCACAATATCGAAATTGCATAATCTGAAAATGCCATTATCTAGAAATTCCAGAATATCGAAATTTATAATTTCTAGACTCGATACCGTCAGGCCGAAATTGACATGAACAAATCTCCAGAAACCGTTCTAAACTAAATACTAGGCAAAAAAAAATTTTCTGTCTTACGAATTTCGACATAATCTGGAAATTTAGAAATCGTGATAGCAGATCGTTGACCGTTCGGATTTGGTGAATTTAGGTACACGCCAAACCTATGTTTCTACTTGGCAAAGTATGGTGGGATTGGCACGGAACAGGTCGATAGGGTAATTCATTATAACTGAGCGTTGATGTATCCTCTCGTTACTCTCCTGAAAACTGGACCTTTTGCTACCTCCGCGATTTCAGGCGCGCCGATGGGTGGTGTTCCAGAACAAGATCGCGATGGAAGAACGAGAAAGGCAGAAACCGGCCCTTCTCGAAAACCTTAAGGCAAAGGCGCAGGAAAATTTGAAGACGTTCGGGAAGTCGTTCGGGCTGGTCACATCGGCTTCGGATTCGCCAGCTGAAGCAAGCGTCAGTCGCCCTCAGACGGCTGAGGCACGCGACACGTCAGTGCCGGATTTTCTCTGCTGTACAATTTGCACGGAAGCCTGTATGTCATATTTTTTTAGTTGTTTAGCTAAAAAGCCGCGTCGCCAAAACGATTGCGTCTAATTTGACAAATGCGTTGATGTACCGAGTATCTCAAGATGTTCGCCGTGGGTCAAGTCTCAGGAAAAGTTGTCCTCATATACGAAAATTGCTAGAAATTTTCTTGCGAGAGTTGAAAAGCCGAAGAAACTAATTTGCTGTGCTTCCCCTTGGCGGGCGCTTCAAACCGAACAATCTTAATTTCCGGTATTTTTCGTTTTTCGATTTTCCAATTTTAGAAAAATTATGCAAAGATTTCTAACAATTTTACCTATGAGAACATCGTTTCTGTTTCTATCTTTCGATCATGCCAAACATTTTGAGATGTTCGGCTTATTCATAGGACTGGGCTTCGTATACTTCATGTATAAGGTTAATGGCTTTGTGTGGCTTTACCGTCTTGTCCTAAAGCGAAACTCACTAAAATCAGCCAGTCAATCACCGCAGTATGTCAGGCTCACTTTTTCAGACGACGAGGAATTGAGAAGGCCACTGATCCTGTCGCCATGCGGCCACACATTTTGCGCGACGTGCCTGACCGAAAGGTTCCCAATTTACGCCCATTGCATTGAAATTTAGGAACATTGGTGTCTGCTGGGTGTGCAACCAGCGGATCGAGGGCATGCTGCGCAACTTTGAGGTACAACGCGCCATCGACGCCCACCAGGGGCCAAATCGGCCGAGTCTACCGGTTGACCAACGGGTTTGTCTTAGTAATCTTTTCTTTCCGAAGACACTCGTGGAGCTTTGATTCGAATGGACGGTAAAGACTAGCTTCTGGATTTTGTTAGCTAGGCAGGGTGTCCCAAAAAATACATCCCCCAGCGATCCGGTGAAAGGTCGGATTGGGATGACTTTTAGATGAGGTATGACACCATTCTAAAGCTCTCAAAATCGGAGAAAACTAGCACGTTTTGTTTTATAAAATTTCTTAGAAGCGCCCGGAATTGCACGATTTCCTTAAAAAAACGGAAGATCAGCGTCGTCCTGCCTTTAGCAAGCAATTAGTATGCGGGTTTTGCATAAAATCTGAAGTTTTTATGGATTTTGGCCCTGAAATTCGTGAATTAACATGCTTATATTGAAAAACGAAAAGCGAATGTTTTCCTCGCCCTTCCGAAAGCTTTCGATAGATACCGAAATTGACAAAATCGGACACTTCCACCATCCGCTCGAGGGGTTCGATTTCTTATTGCACACCCTGTAGAACGATTTGCGACCGGAAAAGGTGTAAAAAATCCGGAAATTGTGGTTTTTGGGAAAACCCCTTCATGGCAAAAACACAAGAAAATTAGCCCGTTTCGGGAAACCCTAGGTAAATCTTTGGAAAAATGCGACATTTCAAAATACGAAGCCAACATAGCCTCGGCTTTTTAAGAAGTTTTAGTTGAGATAGGCTTAAATCGTGCGTCCATAGATAATTCACAATAAAAGAAAATCCATTACCGTGCCATCGTCGACACTTTCAAATGAGGATTATTCAGCGCGAGGCCCAGATTGAGGCCCCGACACCAAAGCCTCCCAGTTCGCCGCCCCTATCCGTGCAAAAAGAGGACACCGCCGAGCAAATGTTAGAAAAGTTTCCAAATTGTTGATTTTTTTTTATTAGAACCGCTCCTGCTTCTCCGCCGCCTCCCGTCCCGGCCCCTCGCGTCACGAAACCAACGTTATCAAAGAAAAATTCCATCGATAAACCTGAAGTAACTGAAAATCCTGAATTCGAGGTTTTGCCGAAAGTACACAGCCCTCAGCCCGTTCTAGCAAAATGTCGGTTACCAAACGGCGCTGGTGAGCGGTATCGAGGGTGTGCCTGAGGATGAAAAGTTGCGAAAGCTGAAGGAGATGTTTGAAGCAACCACTCAACTACCCAAAGAACAATTACGGTATTGATTTTGGGCTAAATGGGGGTATGGTCAGTATCATTTTTTCAATATGCCATTTTTCATAACAACTGTTTTTCAAAATCCGTATTTTCCGAATTGCTATTTCTCATACCGCTTATCTTAAGGCCGTCTAAAAACCCTAGACCGAGCTTTGTAAGTGTACAGTTCTCATGCATAGTTAAAACCACGTGAAAAACCATACTCCACATGTGAAACAGGTTGCATAAAAACGGCAAGGGGGCATTATGGAAACCGGCATATTGAAATGCCCCACCGTGACTATGGATGGCGGCGTTAAGATAGTAAATCGTATAAATGACCTCCCCGCTTTAGACTGAAATGTTATCAAGGGCTGAGATCGGGCAAAGTCTTGCTGTCGATGCCAAGCCGCCGAGTCGCAGAGCAGGTTTGCCAGAAATATTTACATCTAATTTGTCGGCAGTTTATCGAAAAATACGACGGCCAGTGCTTCCCGGGGCGAAAAAATATTATGTGCATCCAGCACGAAAGCTTTGCCAGCAAGCGAAGCGATGAAGCGGATGTGAATAGCAGTGTAGATAAGAAGACGCTCTTCATCATGAATCTGCCGATAAAGGCGACGTCTGACGAGGTTTTAGAAGAGCTGTTGGGTGGCGGCAAGGAGTTGAATCAGAGAGGGTAATTTTTACACAGAGTCCTAATCCATATTTTAACTCTACGTTGTGTCTTCCTCGAGCCCTTTCCTTGCTTTTAGTATTCGGCTGCAACCAGCCAGAGTCGGACAGTTGTGTATCGTTTCGTTTAAGAGCGAAGAGGCGGCGAAACAGGTTGCCATCGATGATCTAAGGACATTTTTCCTTGTTTAGGTGATTGACACCTTCCATGATAAGCCGTACCCCAATACACAAAATGTTATCCTGAACATTACCTACTTCAAGAAAAAAAGTGTCCAGCCGGGTAAATCATCTGAGATAAAAGGCATTTAGCTAACTTTTAAGCAACGCCGGCCCGGCCCGAAACCGGCTCAAAGAGTCGACCCTCATCGCCGGCCAGGAGCGTTAGCCACCAATCGGGTAATTAATGGCTTTTGACAGTAACTGGGATTGCTATACGGCCGCCTCAGCCATTACATTTACATACATTTAGAACGACCCGCAAACAACCAAAATCGTCGGCGCCCATCGCCGACGAGAAGCGTTTCTGCTGGTTACGGTAGGTCGGAAGCGTGCCAGCGGGAGCTAAAAGTTAAACGTTCTGAACCGGGTTATCAAAGGATATGGAGAAGAATCGACTGACAACTTTTTCTATTCCAGCCGGCGCTCACCGCGGATCAGCATTGCCACCAGCAATGCTCATGACGCAAATGCCGCTCCAATTTCATCCTATCGCTCCATCACCGTACATGCATCCGCTCCCCAATCTCGAATCATGCGGCCTACCCTACTATGCCATGCCCTCGCCTGTCCCGCTGATATCCCGACAGCTCACCCCCGAAGTTGTAAGATTATACAGGGCGTTCCTGAAGCAAAATCACCCATCTGCCTTGCATCCGATTCGTCGTGAAAATTCCACCTCAAGCTAATAGTAGCAACTAGCAGCAACTGCTTTCCTACCAGGGTTGGTCACGAAAAGAGCGGGAGCTGGGAGCGGGAGCTGATTGGCGAGCCCCGCTCAAGAGCGGGAGCGGGAGCTCAAAATCCTTAGTTCCCGCTCAGCTCCGGCCCATGAGCCGGCTCTTTTGGAAAAGAGCGGGAACCGAACCTTGCTTACCCACACCGGATTCTGCAAACCAGAGATCTATGCAGATAAGGCAATGCAAGGCAAAGAATATTCAGTTCTATTGGAATTTTGAGAGATTTGCATAAATAACTAATTTGCAGCATCCGGTGTGAGTAGAGCAGGGTTCGGCTCCCGTTCTTTTCCAAAAGAGCCGGCTCAGAGCCGGCTCCCAGAATGACCGACCCTGTTTCCTACCACCATTTTGCAGCCGGCGGCAAAGGACGAGAAGAAGCAGGAAGCCGCTAAAAACAAAAAAACAACGACCGAACAAAACAAAGAAGGAGCTGCCCATGCCGATCCGCGTAAAAAAGATGCAGCTAAAACACCAGTAAGTATATCGGGTCAGTCCGCGAGTGAAACCACGGACCTTGGAAAGTACTTTTCCGTTTACCGGCCAAATTTTTACACCTTCGCATACACAGCAATTTGTTAGCGTCTGGACAAAAGCATCATATGCATCCGCCGACTTCCCTCAAATGTCACACCCGACGGGCTGATCACCACCTTTTTCGGTCATGACCTCAACCTCAAGCAGGAGAATGGCCGGTAATTCCGTACGGACACCATCAAAAATAACTCGTTGCAGTCCGAAGCTCTACTTAGTCGACAACTATTATATTAAAGGTACCAAAATTATGGTCGCCTATTTGACGAGCGAGGACCTCGCCGCCAAGGTGAGTTGGGGCCGTTTCAAAATTCACCGTTTCGAAAGTAGTATTTTTGAAAATCACGTCTTTAGAGCCGCCTTTTCGATGTTGACGAAATGCAGATTTTCGCATGATAATTTTTTACTTTCTAAGCTCATAGAGTGCGTAGAGGGGCCATTCCGCAATTGGTAGTCAGGAAAGAGTTGCGTTAGCTTTGACTATGCTTGGGTTTAGCTTACGCGTAAGCTTAAGCCCAGGCTAGGCTTATCTTAAGCTTTAAATTGTCTTAGGAGGTCAAAATGGCCTGATTCTTAAAGACCGTCAGAACGATGAAATATCGTTTAGAGCAAGGAAGTTTTCTTTGCCCAATACGGGACACCACTAATGACAACCCTCTCTGCGCGTTCAGGGGGGCAGCACCCTCGGGGTGACAGTGCGCGTTCGATCGTTCTGGCAGTCTTTAAGGTACCTTTGAAATGCCTGAAAAGCCACAACAGTATTGATAAAAATGTAGCTAATACATATATCCAGGCCCGTAGGAGGGGGGGCCAGGGACCCAGGACCCCCCGAAATCGGTCGTGGTCCGAAAAATTCATAAGGCGGGACCCTTATGATTTTTAGTTACAAAAATTTTTCTGCTTGCGGCGCTGTTTATTACTGTTTCTCAAACAGTTTTTAAATTTTTAGGCCCACCCCCCCCCCCGAAATTTCGGTTCCGCTACGGGCCTGCATATATCTAATACGGAAATAGTTCCAAAAGAATTTTGCGAAAGATTTTCGGTCAAGAAATCTGAGTTTCGGAAATGTCCATGCATATCTGAGCGGGACATTGCGCTTTGAAGTCAACATTTAGACGATTAAAACCTGGAACTGGAAATCGTACCCGGGCGACGACCAAAAATTGAACGTCGAGTACTACGGTGCCAAGCCGTTTCATCCACCAATTGCGGCGCTGCGGGCCTCTCTGCAAAGAAAGGCAAAAAATACATCTCTGAAAAATAGTTGTTTTTAGGAGTCGGATCAGATACGTTTTACGAATCTACCAGCCTCTGCGGACATGTTCAACCTAATTTCGATCTTTCACAATATGGAGCTCGGGGGGACGAAGATCACCTTTGCCGACCCGCCCGGGTAAACCATGATGAAAATCTGATTTTTATCCGCATTAGGAATAGTCACCTAAAATTATCCTAAGGTATCGTTTTAGGTTTGATTTTACGGTCCAGCCCAACGGGTTGAAATCGTGTAAAGTGCGGTTCGCGACGAAGAATATGGCCAGCCTGATCGCTACATACTACAAGACGGCCAATTATCCGGGAACCGACCATACCTACCACTCGGAATTCTGTTAGTTTGTAATAAACTTGTGTTGTACTTTGGCCGAAAATCGATAGATATTGTATTCTTGGGTAAAAATTTATAAATTTTGTGCATCCAGAAGGATGCAAAACAGTTCAGGCACATGCCATTTCTGGAATCTAAAGGGTTGGATTCTACTAAAAAAGTTGATGGTCTGTGGTTTCCGCCCGCTAAAAATTACGTGTTGTGCCTGCAATAATAAAAAGCACCTGCCTGCCACCCTACAACACGTGTGGACACCATCGATTCTACGAAGCCTCGACGTACCGAAAAAATTACATGGATCACACGAATCCGAAAAAATGGACCATTATCCCACATATTTCCTCATCACAATGGATGCGACGTTGTTGCTTGGGTTATTCTTTAATGGCGTCGGGTTCTACCTAATCATCTGTGTCTCGCCGATGAATATGAAGCACTATAAATACTTTTTACTGTGGTATCAGGTGGATTTTAGGACTTGGTACCTATTTTCTTCAGCATATGAATGTAGATGGGCTTACATACATATGAACGTACAGGATTCAGCGAAAATCCCCTGATTGGCTTGTTGGCAAATTGCCAGAAGCGGAGAGAGCGTGTCCAGGCGAGACGCGACACAAATCCCTTTCCCCGCGTAACCAATTGAATTATGTCGTCATTATCCCCTTAAAGGGATCAGAAATTTGCTTAAACTTGCATAAATTGGCGGAACAATATCCTGCCCCCTTTCAATTCGGCGCGCTCTCCCACCCGTCTCTGGCCCGTTGGCTATCTGCCAATTGCCGATGGGCCTTGATCGACACTGACCGTCCTGGTCCCTTTAAAAAGAACCAAAGAATTCGACGATTTGTATGTTTTCCAGCTCTGGTCCGTGGCGGCAGAGCTGTTGCTGCATGGCATCAAGGCTGAAATCCTCTTTCCGGCGCTGCTCGTTCGTTTCTGGGGCCCAATATTCACCATTTTTGGGCCCAGCGCGGCAACCATCTTTGTGAGTTCAGGATTTTTAAACGGTCTTACCACTCCATTAATCTAATCACACGATTAGTGTGACCTTCGATCACTTTCTGGGGTCACTTCCAGAAATTCAGGGGCTCGGCGGTGTGCTTTTTATGGGTCTTTCCTTATCCGTTTTTCAATGCGTCTTATATCGGCATCGCCAGATCCTCAGGACCGATCATTGGGCCAGGTGGGGGGAAGGGGTCAAATAAATCATTTTATGGGTGGCCGATCACCTGTTCGAAAATCATCTGTTCGAAAACCATCTGTTCGAAAATCATCCGTTCGAAAATCATCTGTTCGAAAATCACCTGTTCGAAAATCATCTGTTCGAAAAGTCATCTGTTCGAAAAGTCATCTGTTCGAAAATCATCGGTTCGAAAAATCACCTATTCGAAAAAGGTCCCAAATGGGGAAAAATTCTATGGGAAGCTATTGCTACTAAAATGCTGTGTTTTACATGTTTCGTGGGGAAGTTCGAGGAAAATCTAAAATTGCGCGGCTATAACGAATCCTCCGCCAAGCCAAATAAGCGCCAGAGGGTGACCATCGACAAGCAGCAGCAGCTCAGCGAGAACTACAGCAAAGAATATATGGCCGAGTTCCTCGACAACATCGCCAAAATTTTAACCTGGATCTTCATGAATATGTCTTTTTGTTTTTTTTTAGTTTTTTTGTCATGAAAAGTCTTTTCAAAAAAAAACTTTGAATTTTGGAAAAGTTGTTGCTTCGAAAACGGTGTTTTTTCGAACAGATGATTTTCGAACCGATGATTTTCGAACAGATGACTTTTCGAACAGATGACTTTTCGAACAGATGTCTTTTCGAACAGATGATTTTTCGAACGGATGATTTTCGAACAGGTGATTTTCGAACAGATGATTTTCGAACAGATGATAGGGAATCCATTTTATGAGACCTTGTCGAAACCCGCGACCCACATTTCAGACTCAAAATCCGGACGTGGCTGCTGATTTGGGTACTCCACTACGTCCTTGTTCCGGGCGGTTTCGCTTTTTCGGTCTCCAGGTTTCATCAGGAATACGGCGGCGGTACTATAATGGAACGGACCATACAAGTAGGGCTAAAGTGTAATTTACACCCCCTTTCTCACCCACAGAGCTAGTGGGTTTTGCTGGGAGGGAGCAGACGAAAAAGGGTGCCTAACAAACTGGTTGGGGGGGGTGCAAAATAAACTATTACCTGAAAACATTTTCCGGTTTCAGCGATACCCCGATTTTTCATATGCAGCCGTCGCTTCACCAGCCTTTTGGGCACTTGATGCCAGTCCTAAAGTGCCAATCACCCACCTCACTGCCCTGACGGCCTCTTTTGGACTTATTTTCTGCATGGTGGTCGAAGCGAATACGCTTGTAAGTTTTCGAAGGGGGCAACGGCACGTAGCTGCAGACAATCGGTGTGCTCATCCACTGCTTCCACGTCATTCGCACCTCCACGTCGATGAGTCGCCACACAAAAATTCTGCATCGAAAGTTGGTCACAACGCTGGTGTATCAGGTCTCAACTTGACCAGAAGACTTAACAATATGTATGCTACCAGGTTTGCTTCCCGGTGCTCACAATCGCATGTCCCTGGATGTATTATATTGCATTAGTGGTGTCCGGCTTGTCGTGGGATCCAGGCAACGTATAAATTTATACTAAACAAACCTATAGGTATCATCAATTTCGGGATGGTGCTCAATTCGTGCCATGCGATGCTTGGGTCTATAACATTGGCGGTCAGCAACGAAACATACCGACGATATTTGGGCGCTAAAACTCGAAAGATATTTGGGTCAGTAACCACTCGGTTTTTTAAAAGATTTAGCCTGAAAGCCAAGCGGGTCGCGGTGGCGCCGAGCAGCCGATTGACGACGTCGGTGCCGACGATCAGCTTCATGCGCTCTGCTCAAAGCTAGTAATAAATTCCCTAAAAAATGCATGAAAAATCGTCACCACGAACTTCCACGATACACGATACAGGATTCCATTATTGTTTTCAGTGCAGTTTCTGCGCGAGCAATCATTATACTTGCAATGAGTCTAACTACCCCGGAGAGCAAATAGTTTCGGCCCCGTTCGGAAATTTCCCAATGAACTTATATGATTAAGAAATTAATTATTAATAAACGCTTGGTTACGTCCGAAGATGTCGTAAAATTAAAGCCAAGTTTTGATACTTTCTCCCTTGCAGCAGCCCGGCCAACGTTAAAAAAACAATAACTATTCGTCCCATACCTATACAGGGTGTCCCAAAAAATCCCCACCCCTTAGCTAGCGGGCCGGACTCCTGTCCTTTTTTACGGCATCGGTATCTATCGAAAGCTCTCGGAAAGGCATGCCTTTCCGAATTTTGAAATTCCGGAATTTTTCTTGCCTTTACTAACATTTTTGCGAAAAGGGCCGTATTTTTGCTGCTTTTCCGATAAAAGGGTTTTTTTTACAAAAACCACGATTTATGAATTTTTGCTTCTTTTCCGGAACCGGGACGGCCGCTTTTAGAAAACCATTTGCGAAAACACAGCATAGGTGGCGCTTTAACCGGTTAAATGGGTCCTTGCCAAAAAAAGCGTCTTTCCTTTGCATCAAAAATACCGAAAATCGGGCAAAAACATTCCGAAATTTCAAAATTCGGCGCCTTTCCGAGAGCTTACGATGGATCCCGAAACCGTAAAAATCGGACAGGTTCCGGCCCGCTAGGTAGGGGTGATTTTTTGGGGCACCCTGCGGACACGCGTTTAAAGTGAACCCGCGCATACCCGCACTAAAATCACCCTTGGACTACCCTAATTGACGGTGTTGTAGGAATGTGGTTTTCACCGAGTTTGGCGCAATTGTGGCTCACAATCCGCTGACCTAATAGGTAGTTGCGAGCGGCAATGACTTGGGTAAGTAGACCGAGTTTTTACGGTCGCCCGGGGAAATAATTAGTTTTGCGTGGCTGGCCGCATGGTTCTCACATTGCACTCGAGTCGTCCGTAACCGCAAATCACCGATGGATGAGGAGCCTGCATATTTTCTCGTGGCCATGGATTGCTCGATGTACATTGGGTTTTTCTTTAATGCCCTCGGCTTTTATCTAATTATCTTCGCATCGCCGGCACCGATGAAGCACTATAGATATTTCTTGTTGTGGTATCAGGTGAATACGGTTGCTTGCAATTTATTTCAATTTTTCTTCTACGAATATTTGATTTATTCCAAACATGTTCGCTCGGTGCCCTTTTTTAGGCAAAAACTAAACGCGTTTTGTGAAAAACTCACTTTGTTCGTTAGAAGTGCCACCCAGCTGTTTTTTGTTCCAATTGCGTTCAAAAAGCTGTCGCGGGGGGTTTCAAAAAGTGTTTAGCAGCGACTGACACTATTAAAGGGATACCCAAGGTTTTGGCGGCACCTATATAGTTATTTATTCCGGCAAGTATAAATGACGCGCGAATTTTGTGCGCCAATGGGCGCCCATTGCCGCACAGAATTCGGACACCTTTGTCTCGGATACACACGACAAGGCCTATCGTTATCTGCAGGCTTCACACTCCCCGGTGGGGCAGATGTGACACCCGCATCTGCACTACCTCGGAGGCCGTTTTAGGAATGAATTTCCCGCACTAATGGTATTCCTACAACCTACCCTTATTTATGTTAACTTATATCGACATAGTAAATCCGTTTTACATGATTGGAAACGTACTGATAGCTTTATGAAATCGGCACAGTGGGCTTTTTCAAAGGTTCTGTGATGTCGTAATTAGTAATAATACCGGCTTTCAAATTATATTCCCAGAAGAGACTAAAATCCAACCTAAGACCTAAAATCTAACCTAACCTAGAACATATTGGGTAACGTAGGGTCACTAACGTAACGCGTTATAAGTCCCAGCCGGACGCTTCAGGGTTCGTTTCCATAATTTTTCATTTAAGCCCAGAATTTAGATAAACTCAATAACGTTGGCTTATATGGGCAATAAATTTCTAACGAATAGAATTGCCTAATCATTCTTAAAATTGC